TAGTTAAACTAGACTTTAACTAGTTAGCTAGATTTTATCCTTTTTTGCCCCCAAAAAGCGCTCGCTCTTCACTACTAGTAGGCTATAAAAAACAAATCATGAGCAAGGTACACGAATGTGGTGAAAATGCGGTTGATATTATTGCTTTAACAGAAAAATCTATTGCTCTGCTAGGGGACTATTCGCTATTTGGGATAGTTTCGAGAGAAAATTTTTCTCTCAGAGAATTTTAAGTCGCAAGAACCGGTTCCTTAATTTTTTGAGGCGGCATTGAAGAGCATGGTAGCTGGTTTAATAACATACTAAAATACATGGTCAGACAAACATCGATATCCTTAATCACAAAGCGCAGATGCTGATGAAAGAAGAATACATAGCAATACCTGATATTTTGATAAGAATTAAAGATAAAAAAAATAATAATAACAGAAGAGAATAAATAAAAGACGTGTAGAAAAATTAATCGACCTTGATCTGGCCAGCCCCACATCCGAGTCAGGCTAGTTTCAAGAAGGTTTCGCATCTCAGAAAACATGTAGCAACTTCGTTAGTGGACAAGATTGCACACCACATAATTTCCTCCCTTTGTCTTATGCCTCGGGGTTGTTAAGCTGGTTTGAAGGTAAATGAATAAAGGAAAATACTAAGGTATATTTAAGCGATTACTAAGTTTAACCCCTTTCTATAATAACATAACTGTTGAACGTCATTTCAAAGTTGGCAAATAAGCCGGTCTGTTTTGCTCTATTTTCTAATCGTTATACAAGACAACATAATACGCTCAGTCTTTCATTTTTAGCAGTTTTCAGATCCATTTTTGATTTTAAATCAACTGCAGGTGATAAATGTTTTTGTCATGTACCCCCCTAGACTGTGTTTTTCAATCAATTATTTATTATTTTGTGGGAAGGTACTATCCATGTTTCGAGTTCGCAATTATAAAATATATTTTATTCGCTGTTTTTATCGATATTATCCTTCTATTATCAACAGAATTCTTATCATCAATACAGAATTGGTGAACATGGATTCTAAGAGAAGTGCACCATAGACAGCCATTATCTTCTGTCTCCAGAATTGAACAAAACCTTAAAGCGAGGTAAGTTACTATGAAAGATATTATTTTTTCCAGAAAAGCAGATGCCTATTTTGGTGCAATTCCATTTTGATTTTCCATTTACTTATTGTTTAATACAGCAACATCTTTTGGGACTTAAACTATGTTATACTGTAATATTAAGAGATGTGGAGGGATTTGAAATACCATGAATACACGCGAACGAGGCAAAAATCGTCTCAAGCTATTACGTCAAGTTGTGCTGTTTTTTAAAAATGAAAAAGCTTAGAAACGTCTTTTATTTTAACATTCGTTAATAGGAAATTTCAGCTTATTTATTCCGGCTTAAAGTATCTATGATACGATCACGAAAACTTTGAAAGTCGTGAGGCATCATTAACCATCGCGCATTAGAGAATTCCGTATTTTAATCTCACAAACAACAGACATTTTCAGAACTAGATAGACAGACACTTCAATTACTATTAACGAAATTAATCCTTTTGAAGTTGGATTTAATGATTGTCGTAGATAGAAATGGAATATCGAAATACAGCTGTATGATTAAGCACAGCGACCAAACCGACGAATTGGTAAAGAACATTCACTGATTATTGGTTTTTTATTTAGTTCTTGTTAAACCCATTATCAGGTACCAACACAGCATTCCATCTGCCTCAAAGTGAAAATGCAAAATGTTAATAGATCCGTAACTATATCTTCGTGTGATAGTATCAGTTGCAGCTAAATCTCGTATTCACTTTGGACAAGCGACCGTATAAACACTTTCAGCAAATCTTTTGCAGTATGAACTTAAACGCAAGAATGTTTAATCAAAGTTCCAAATAAATGGCGAAAAGGAGATTGCAATATTAATGCTCTTAACAGTTTGTGGTTTGTATTTAATGGATTAGTTTCTTATTTGTATTCGGATTTCGATTCCTTTTATAGTGATTTGCATAAATGAAAAATACAGCTACCATGAATTCCTTCATAGCTACCTGTTTTAAAGCTTAAAACGTAACATATTTGAGCAGAATGTGTTCAGTAAAAATCTCAACAAATTCAAATTTTAAGTTCTTAGATATCTAGAAATCTAACTCATTATGAAGAGAAAACGCCATTTTAGTCGAAAATTACACATTGAATTCCCCTGAATCATTTTTAAAGCCTGTTTCAATGCCTAAAGTTCTTGAAAACTTCCCATTAAAAACCGACGTTCCTGGGTGTGGTTAATATAATAGCGGTATCTTTAACTGATAAACCAGTGCTGATTACTCATTTGAAATGTGTTTATTGACAGAAATCTGTCTCTTGAACTACTTGACGTACCTTATATTTTACAGTTGTTGGGTCTATGAATTGCAGAGGCTTATTTGATAATTGACAAAGGAGCTATCTTCTAGGAATGATCGCTTACTTTTTACACAAAAATGAGCTCTGAGACTCACGCTTTATTGATTTTTAGAAAAAAAATGATACTTGGTCAAAGATAAGTGAGAATTAAAGCTGCTCAATTATGTTTTTTTTCCTCGTTTGAGCCTGTGCTAGCCTATTCATCAGAGAGTAAATCAACTTAAATAAAATGAATTGGAGTTCCTGTTTTTTCTTTCAAGTAATTAAGGCCAGTTTAATAAAAGAAAGATACATTCTTTTTCAGTAGTATTTAAAAATACCAGTTAAATGTATTGACGACGAAGTACGGTGGCGCCAAATAAAAATGTACAATAAAAGTAAAACAATGCTTCTAATAGGTTTGAATTTCAGTGTTATTTGGCTTTTTTGGTAATAGCAACATTGGTTAGTTTTGTTTTGTTGTACCCTCTTCTTCATCAGGTTTTGTGGTGGCTTGTTGAAGAACAACAAAACCCTTATCTGGGAGACTAATCACCAGAAAGTGATAACCGTTGTATCCGATACAAGTTTTGTTTTGTTTGCATTGTCTCTGTACATAGTAGGCAAGAAAGAAAGGCATTAACCGCAAAAAAGAAATTCAGACGCAATCTAGGCATAACTAATTTTAAAAAGTACCGCACTGTAATAAAATGAGTAACAGTTTTTTCGCCAAAAGAACTGTAGGTCAGTAGCAGGTGACTGCCAAAATAAATACAGGTATTTATTTGCATATCTGCTGATGACCCACTGTGTGAACCTGAATATTGTGTATACTGAGTAGTACAAATTTGGAAAGCACGTTTTCGTCATAGCTGTCACCGATTTACGTTTAATTGGCCAGCAAAAGCAACTAAAAGATATTCTTATTTTTACTTCAGCGTCTGTTCGTGTGATTTCGTCTTTGCGACCGAGAGCGTAAGTATAATTTATCATCACTGCAGACTGGATGCGATACTTAATTGACACACACCTGTAAAAGCTTTCGAAACGGTAGAAAGCAGCTTGAAAATCTATTCTCCGGTCTTGTACTGATGTAACAGTTATTAAGGTAACAGGAAAAAAATCTTAATACAGCTTTTTAAATTGATACTATAGTCATCGTCGGATTATTTTAACGCGAGACTCATAATATAATCACTACCGATCCGGCCACCGGTTTATATTTTAATCTCAATTAAACAAACCCTGCTGAGGAACTTTATTTTAAATTCATAGGATGCAGTTTAAGAATTTAGTTTACCAGTTTTTGCCACTAGTAAGACTGTTTGGTAGCAATTTAACTGGCTCCTTTATGCAGCTTAATTAATAACCATTCACCACCTCATCATGAATTTTTTTTAAAACATAATAACTTAGAAGAAAGGACCTAAAAGAATTAATAAGTTACAACAAAACCAGCCAATTTATCATTAATTTCGGGAACAAATAAAAAAAGAAGAAAGAACAAGAAAAATATATTATCGCTGATATAATTGTAAACTACTTACTTATTACATTAATTACTTATTACTGTTTGTGCACTTTTAAGGCTTATTTTCTTTTCAGACATCACGTCCCACCGAAATGAAGTTGTATATACGAGTGGCTCGAGACTTCTCACTGGCCTTGCTAAGTTTTAGCACATTTGGATTTTGCAATGAGTAAGCTCCTTATACTTATCTTAAACAGTAGCTCATTCCCCTAAATATATACTACATTTATTTATTCGTTTATATCTCGAAATCCACATTCTTTGAATCTATACCTACAATGGATCTCTGCACGGTTTTTTTTTCAACTATTAAATGGAAAAGTTAGGGAAAATTCGTCAACTCCTCTAGAGAGAGCGCCTTTAAATTGGTGCGATTGGCAATTTTGAAAGTGATTTGTTGAAAACTAACGAGGATATAGCTCCTCAAATTCGCGAAATTTTACAGACACTTAAATAGAGGGGGAAAAACTTGCCTCCCCCCCCTCCCACCATACAAGCGTCTGTAAATCTTCGCAGTTTTGCGGAGCTATATCTTTACTCGCTTAAGACGTATCACTTTCAAACCTGGCAATTTTACTAACTTAAAGCTCTCTTTTCAGTGTTGGCGACGGATTTTCCCGAACTGGTCCACATCAAAAGTTGAAAAAGAAAAAAACAAAAACAAAAACAAAAAAACGAAAAAAACACGTGGAAGGGTCTATTGAATTGACTTTGTTGCTAAAAAGAATTTTTACAAACAATAGTCTGCTTGATCATGATTTTCAATAATGTGGCTACTTATCTAAGGGTTATCTTAGGAACAAAAAAAGGCTTTACCTAAGAAAAGAGTGACCGATCACTTGATGATGTCATGTGACAACGCTCTAAACTATTTTTTTCAGGTTTAACCGGTTTAACATTGCTGAATCCTTGAGACATATCCTAGGAAAAGCAACTTATTAGACATTATTTAAAATTTACCCAGTTTCTTTCTTCTCAAAGGACAGAAAATTTGGAGTACATGAATTTTTTTAAAAACTGTAACAGTTAGTAATACATTATTTTTCCTTTACTGTAAACTGATTTTTCAGAAATGAAATGAAAATGTTTAGTCAGCTTTACTTAAAAAAATTATCTTCCTTGATTCTTTATTTCTTAAAAAAATGTAGGGAATCTGCAGATGAGATGCGAGATAGTATGATCGCGGCCTATAACTTGTCACGCACCATCAACAGGAGTCTTAAAGGTTATGACCGGAAAGTTAGGCCAAACGCAGGAGGTCCGCCAGTTATTGTGAAGATTGAATTCAAAGTTATTTCTTTTGGAGAGATCAAGGAGGCTAATATGGTATGGCAGTCTACCTGGTTTAAAACCTGTGGAAATTACTTAAAGGAATTGCTTAAAGCATAACATAGCTGATTTTGTCGGTGATTCAAGAAAAGAAGTCTAGGTTTTAGCCATTTAGTAGCATGAGCCAATGCCTCTTTTTCTTCCTTAGAATATATTTGGCGACAACAATTATGTACATGTATTGAAGTGGGAGTCGGCAAGTACTCTGCTATGTTTGAGTCAGTTGTCGCTCAATCCTGGTGACCTGTGACCTGAGATTTGACATTTATTATTAGAAAGTCCTGAAATTGAAAAGAAAATGACAAACTAGAGTGAAAATTAAACGTTTTGCTAATTTTTGTGGTATTTAAAGTGCTAACTAACTTTGTAACATTACAAGTTATTGCTTGATATAACAACAACAACAACAATTATTTATTTGCATGATTATTGCAAAATGATAGGGACTATTAACAAGGAAAAAAATCTATGTCTGACATTTCTAAGAGCTGGAAATTTCGGACAGTGGAAGAGAAAGTGAATTTCATCTTCAGTTTGGTTTGAATCACAGACTGGTCAAAATCGTTTGTCCTGAGAAGTGTGGTCATATCTTCTGGTTTCGATCATTACTTTGTGATAGATTAAGCGTAATCTTAAAGTTTTTCTATCAAAGTTGTTTTTTTCAGAACTGATGGCCGTATTTGGTTTTGTTATGACGTCATATTTCATAACCATAATCGCAATAAATTATCATCAAAAGTTGTTGAAATGTTTCTTAGAAGTGAATGAACAATTTAAAAGAATAGATTGTACAAAAGCATATTCAATAAACACTGAAAGAAAAAAACCTTAAAGATGATGTCTGTCATAATCTTCGATCTTTATTTAAACAACGCAGCCAACAAATCGTTGCGATCCGCACGACAGGGCTAATGTCACCTGTCCAGTCTTGGTCTGTGTAAAGTTTCTGCTAAGTTTTGCAGACTGGAGGGACAGCATAAAGTTTTTAATGTCTGAATTTTTTTTTGTCATATAGCATCTTAACATCTTACCTTTTTTCTCAAAGGAATACTCAATGGATATTTTTATGCGTCAGTGGTGGAATGATCCGAGATTTAAAAACAACTACAGCCAACCATTCAACATGGCAGCTGATCCTACCGAACTTTTTTGGACTCCAGATACGTACTTCTGGAACGTTAAGGATGCTAAATACCATTTTGTAACCAGAGAAAACATGAGAGTGAAAATATCTCCTGACGGAGAGATTTATTACAGCACGAGGTAAATGAAAGAACTGAACAGAAGCTGGGTGAGAGCTCGGTCCAAAATAATAATTATAATAATAGTAATAATAATACTTTATTTATCTTCTCCCATTATGGGTCTTTTCAGGGATAATGAAACAAATAATTCAAATAGAACATTAAATGGTTAAAAATCCCAACTAGAACGAGGTGAAATAGTTGTCTATTTTACAAGCGTGCATGGCCTAGAATTTGAAACCGGGACTAACGAGAACAAATCCAACAAGAGGTCAGGGCGGGAATTGAACTTGGGGCCTCCGAATTACTAGTCCAGCGCCCTAACCGCTCAGCAACGCTGTCTTCGTGCTTCGCTATAAAATGTCACTTATTTTCAAAATTCAAATTAATCGACTCCCTTAAAGAGGTCAAACTATTTGTATGAATTCAAGGGAAGATTGTTTTATTTTTATAATTTTTGGTGAGTTATTAGCTGGCGCGAGATTTATACAGGCTGTTTATACTGAGCTAAGTTGTATAATCATGTCCAAGGCGATGATAACAAAAAAAGTGCATGATTGAAGAGCAACAGTGGATACTCATAGCACAGTGGTGAATCATTATAAATTTATGCTATATAAACACCTCCCAAGATTTGGTCTTTAAATTAATTTTTGCTATTGCTAAAAAACATTCAAAAGCAAATTAACATAGAAAAGACTAAAGTTTGTAAAGGTTCAGCTGTTTTATTTTTCAGAATAACCCTTACTGCTCAATGTGACATGAACTTGCGACTTTACCCAATGGACACACAGTATTGTCCGCTTATCATAGAAAGTTGTAAGTATAAATGCATGTTACTTACTTACTTGCTCGACAATTGAGATATTGTGAATCCTATACCAGTATTAATACATGTGAATGATAGTAGAAATAAAAATTGAAAAAAAAAATACTATTTTTCTTTCTTATATCGCAAGGAGATTTTGTATCCAGACAATTTGATTTTAACCTTGTTTCAGTTTATTTATTGAACTTCTCTCTACTCTTTGACAGATGCCTACACGACCGCTGACGTGGATTACCGCTGGAAAGGAGGAGACGACCAAGGGATAGAGATCGTATCCGCTGAAATGGCGCAATTTGATCTCGTAGGTGTAAGCACCCGCACTAAAGCTCAGACGAACAGTAAAGGTATGAACCAGAAAAATATTATTCTGTACTTATATCAAGGCTGCGCTGTACTGACCTTTCAGCAAATGCTGATGGAACAGCGGACAGATTCTTTTAATTTCGTGTTCAAGCGGACTTACCAGGTCTAGGAACGTTTCATTTCTAGCCTTCTACTGGTACTATTTAAATATTGATCCTTCTTCTAAATACATGAGAAAATTTAGATTGCAATTTTAACATCGATGAGCCACGACGAACACTGTAATTACTTCCTCAGGAAAATTACATTTTTTTCGTATTTCTAATTTTATCAAGTCAGTTCTAGATGAATTTTAAACGCGGTCGGGAGGACTCTTCAACACAACATTTCAAAACTGAGCAAGGTCCAAAAATTATCTTTCATAAGTGTCTCTTTGGTTTGATTTTTTTAAAGGCTCATTTGCAAGTTTGACGGCAGTATTTTCATTCCGCCGACGTACGGAAAGTTTCATCTCGTCCATCTTCGTCCCTTCTATAGTCCTTGTCGTCCTCTCGTGGTGTTGTTTTTACATCTCTCCTGCTGCAGTTCCGGCAAGGGTTGCTCTTAGCATTACCACTATATTAACCTCAATTCTGCTCAAGGGTAATGTTAATAGGGATATGCCAAAAGTCAGCTACATGAAGGCAGTGGACTATTTCATGCTTACCTCCTTTGGTTTCATTTTTACTGCTTTGATTGAGTATATCATAGTGCTAAACAGTGACCCAGTATTGCCTTCATGGTGCAAAAGGAGACAGAAAACGGACGAGAAACACAAATTTACCGTGGTAAGTGAGGTAAGTGAAGAAAACAGTGGCTTAAAAAAAAAAGAAAGGGAACATGGAGAGAACATGGTGTAATATGCTGGGTTGGATCTTGGGCTCTTGCCAAATTTATCTTTCCCACCTCAATCACTCTCCATTAAGATCAGGCTCTTGAGGAATTTGTCACCTATCAAATTAACGTTGCCCCCACACTTAAATTACGCAAGGAAGGGTCACATTTCAAAGTCAAACTGAAAAAAATGAATCACAAAAACTGTGGCTCTATTAGTGTCCCTAAAAATTGGAGACAATTTAATTTCCAGATCGAATTGAAATTTGAAATGTTAAGTTTTGACGAAAGGGAAAAACGAAGGAGGAAAACCAAGAACAACAATTTCAATCTCAACCCACAACTGGCCTCGATGTCAAGACTCAAATTCATCGATCAAGCCACATTGGCGGGAGGCGAGTGTTTCTTACCACTGCGCCATCCGAAAATTGCTCGGTCCCCGGAGTTTCCTCAGCTCGTTAGTTGTTTCCGAAGCCTAACACGAGTCCAACAGCTTCCGACAGAGGTTTTTAAACCTCACTCTTGTCAAACTCACTAAGAAATAGGTCTCCAAAAGTGGCAATGTGGTTTCTCACTGGGCTTAGGCCGACAAAACCGGGTCTTTGAACAGACTTGACTTGGATTTGAATTGGGTGAATGAATACCTTGAGCTTGATATCAATCTTATTGCTATCGTAGGTCCAAGGCGAAGACAGTGTTGATCTTGTTGTCCAGGTAATGGATGAAGGCGCATGTAGGATCCGTAGCAACAAGGGGAACTTCAAGCTGAAACCAGAAATTAAGAAGGAATCTACATCAACAGATCAAGACAAACCTAAAACCATACCGAAGGTTCATTGGATTGACCGCATATCAAGATTTGCGTTTCCTATTTTGTACGTACTTTTCCTTGTCTCTTACACCTTATATTATGGGCTGCTGAGGGACGCTAGTAAAGAAAACGTGCCTGAAGAATAAACCATTTTGTTTGCAAAATATAGTTAACAAAACAAAAGATTTTCAAGGAATTTTCAATACAGCAGGACAATTTTCAATACAGCAAGAGATGTTCAGATATGACATCGTTATCAAAAAAAGTTCTGTTTGCTTTTTAATATCGATTAATACTATTGCCGCGACATGGTAACGTTTATCAGAATCAAACTTTTCCATGTAAAGTTAGAAGAAACAAAAATATAAGAAGGAAAGGAAGATAAAGCTGTTTAAATTACCAAGATAACAATTAGTCATAAATTTAAAAGGATATCACTGAAACATAACTTGATTGTTTTCAAGTGGCGCTAATTGGTCTGAGGCATGTGCATATTGCTAATTACTTTTTAGCAATTTGCCAAAAAAAAAAGAAAAATGAAAGTAAAAAGACAACGGACGAATGATTGTTTAGAATGCTTTAATTTATTCTAAAACTCAACCTTAGTTTATTTCATTATAAGATGACTATTACTGTTATTTCAGTGATTCATTGCAGATTTGTGTTAGTAATTGTAATTATTCTTTTATTTAAATTTTTGTTGCACTAACAGATATCTCCGCAATTATTTTTTGTTCGTGGAACCCTAAGCGCCCTTATGTAGAATAAATCTGCTGTTGCTGATGCATATGGCTTTAAGTTCACTGTAGAGAGGAAAGTATCACTCCCAACTTTGAAGGAAATTTGAACGAAATATTACGTGAGACATTTGCTTTCATTTTAGGTGTTTCCATAACAACTATTTCTCAAAAATGTTTTGCAATTAAAAAAAAAAGTGTTTTGCAATTAATGCTTTATTAAAACATTTTTACCTTTAGTTACTTTTTTTGCTGTTTTTGCGTTTCCCCTCCACTTTTACCACTTTTTTATTTGTGATGAAAAAGGATGACTGATCATGACATTTAAAAATATGGCGTGAAATAACATCATGACTATAAGTGAACTAAACTCCTAAAGTTTCAAATTCCAAACTTTCGAATTCAGTGGTAAAGGCAAGGGTCCAGTCGTAACAAAACCCAGACAGAGGATTTGCATGAATGATAAGACAAGTTTCAGATATAAGAGTTGCAAACACATATATTTAGTTGGATTACTGAAATAAATTGTTATCAGCAAAAATACATGTACATTATATGCTGCACGTGATATGTCTATTTGAGTCTGAATTAGCAGCGCTAATATTGCAAACTTGTTGTCATTTTTTAATATGATATTTGGGACGCAATTTGCGTTTGACGTCACAACGGTAATAGTGTCTTTGTTTATCAAAAAGAATCAACTATTTACACCTGCATCTCCTTTCAAACTCGCTTAACTTAAATAGTTGAATATTACTTTTATTTTTTTGTTATTGTATTAACCCTTTTTACGATGGAATGATTCCATTTCATCAAGAAGATATACTCTGCTGCTGGGAATCCCACGCACACAGAAACAAACTAATAGAATTTGAGACCCCGGCCTCTCCCCGAACTAATGTTTACTTAAATGGTTGCCTTCCTTAGGGTGATGGTTGGTACCTAAGAATTACACTGTCACGAGTGCAAATACTCAAATTAATCTCAGTTAACCATCTCGTGGAATTCGTGACAATAAAAGAGAGATAAAATTATACTAAGATTTAATACCAACCAATTTTCTCTTTCTTGGCAGTGCTAAGAATCATATAAACCATGCTATCAGAGCTTAATATGCATCTTACACAGGCTCAGTTTGTTTGATGATATTTTTTCATTTGCATTGGTTCTTTATTTGTAATCAGGTTGTAGTTGGCTTACTTACTGATTATCCACGTGCAAGGACTAAAATGCGATTCCATTTTGCATTAATATTAACCCTCGTCACAAATTAACTCCTTGAAACACGTCACTGATCACTACATCAAACTTGATTTACGATGCATGGCTAAAACAGCATTGTAATTAGTAGGGCAATGGGAATGGGTAAAATTTATCAAAGAGTTTAAGGATTTTTGTCAGACATTGCAAGTCATTTCTTTTGACAGCAACAAAGAACCCCCGGCTCTCCGAGATCTTAAGGCTTAATCCTCTATCTTGTTCTTGTAATGAATGACGTAGGCAATCAGAAAGATAGAATACATTGCAGGGAACAGTAGGCGAGAACATTTGTCCACCCAGTGGTCCTGAGTCTCGCTTGCCTTCTGCGGTGGTTTCTTACTGGGACTTTTGCTCAAGTCTACTTTCTTAGGTGACGCACTGATCTTCAAAATGATTTCATCTGACGATCCCTGTAGAAAAAAAAATGTTCAAACTTTCTAATAAGACGCGGAGTTATCTTGGCTGCAACCCGTCCAACTGAGTAACTGATATAAGTATTTAATGCGGTGTGTTCGACAAAGTTGGCCGCGTGTCTTCTTCGTCTATTTTACTTAAGAAAGGTAAGTAGATCAGTTTTGCAAATATATATATCTGTAAAAAAAGTTCCAGGATAAAACACAACCGATGCCAGCGCCTCTACATCGACTTTGAACTGGCATCACCTACTGTATGTGGTATTATCATCTAAAAAACATTGCGTCATATCCCCTGAATTTAAAGATTAAGTTGAACAGATTTCACCCATTTGCATGAATCTTAAAATTTAGAAATTTCATTATTGATAGTATGATGCTTACCCTTGCTTTCGCGATGTCATCTTTCTCTTTCTTCTTGAGGAAGGTACAGCAATCCGCCATCTTATTGGGAGTGTTTAACACAATAATGTATTCAACCAGAGCAGCAAATATGAAGCCAAACGAAGTCAACATAAAGTAGTCTACAGCTTTGATATAACTGACCTGAATTGAAAAGTTTTCATCATATTCAAGTTAACGTTTGGTTTATCAGAAAGGCAGCGTTTTCATGGACGAAGCACTATTATTATAATTATAATAGTGCGATTTCCAACTATACTGCGCATAGTAGGACTCCATGTTCCTAGAAATATCTAGTCGCCCGCTATATTTCTATCAACAAGGGAGAAGATGAAATCTCCGGTGTTGTTGGGTACATGACCCGCTTTAAGGTATTTAAAAATATATATTTCATAGGCGTAAAATTGCCGAATTGCGTAATTAGTAACATAACCATGTTCTAATTGAGAGGTGCACTGGACTGGTACGACTAACGACCATAAGGGCCTTAGGGATCATTTGGAGAGAGGGAAAGACGCCCTCAAGCTTATTCTTATTGAAGAAGAAATGCCTGGTGCATCAGGGTGTCAATGAATTCTGGTATAGTGGAAGTTAGTTGCATTTTTCCATTTGGAACACAGCACTTGAAACACGCCATTTTTGTTTACCTTCATACTCGTCCCTCCAAATGGCCCCAGTATATAACCAGTTTTCTACTTCTTTAGAAGATGGTGAATTGAGATAACGATCATTTTGGAGCTCTTCTCTGATAATTTAATAAAAATATCAAGTTTTCATCATGCTCCAATATTTTGGACTACTTATGTCTGTAAACCCGAATGTTCCAAGTGAATTGAGCCAAACAGTGCGAGTGGGGCCACTGACAAATAAAAAATTATTATAAATAATAGTATATTAAAATAATTAATGAATCTCTCCCCTAATGGGGTTTTTCAGAGATAATGAATTCAAATAAATAATTCAAATGGAACATAACTGGTTTAAGAATCCCATCTGGTAGGAGGCGAACCAGTTGACTATTTTAGACGCATGGTAGAGGACTTGAGCTCGTATATACCGAGAACAAATCCTGTTAGCGGTCAGGACGGGAATGCAAGTTCAACGCTCGGCCCCGCTGCCTCTTAAAATGAAGCGTTAAGGTGGGAAGTTTACCTTGGGAATATTGTTGTTGAGAGAGCTGGAGAGTAAAATGGTTGTCAGGATAGTTGTTATACTAAGCGATATCCTGGCAGGAACAGCCGTTGGGGTGATGAAAAATGTGCACCAAGATAACACCACTAGGATCACCTCTGGTACGTACACCGCTGAAATGTAGTAGTCAAGACGTCGTCGAAATGAGAACACTGCTTTCAGCTTCGCAAAGGATCCTAGTGGGCCGCCATGAGAAGAGATAGAAAAAGAGATGATCAAAGTTGAATTAAAATGATTGCAGCTCCTATCATCGATAACATTGGAAATGAATACCAGTTTAACTTGAACCTCAATAGGACTTAAAAAACTAAAATTAATAAATATGTAATTATTATATATAACTATAAATATATAAACATTTAATAGTTACTCCTGAGTACAGGTTAAGGTATCATCCACTCTCAAGCACCCTCCCCGCGTTGATCGGCGCTAGCGCCTTTGCTTTTAATAAATATCCCCATAAACCGTACATTTTCTGAAAGCTTAATAGTTTCAGATTATTGCTTATTCCTTTTAAAAAATCAAAACATTAACGCGATTCAGAAATGAGAAGCTTTTTGTAAAAGTGGGTGTCACTGTAAATTTAAGTCCAGGCCAGCGAAAAATAAACGGAAGAAGCCAATTACGATCTCATTCGCTTCTTAACACGTTTGACTGAAAAACCGTGTCTCAGATTTTTGTCAAGTGGGTTTGTTCTTTTGTTATAAGCAGTTGAAGATAAGGATAGCAAATCATTACCACTACCTATGAAAAAATACTCTTACTCGAAAACGAAAAAAGAAATCAAAATTCGCAGACATAGTTTTTTAGAAAAACTATCTGACAGTAAGTTGGCCAAATTTCAGCCAAATTGGTTCACGGGTTGCCGACTTGGAGTTTGAAACGTACCCTTAACTTGACCTGATTTTCATTTCGAGAAAACAGGGGAAAAAGATTATTGGCGGCCTATTACCCGTGACGAGATTATAACAGATTATAACACCAAAGCTGTCAATGTTGAAGCATACCAGAGAAGGGACAACAATAGTGACACAGCAGGAAAAGGTTACAAACGAAACCCGAAAAGAGATGAACTATTTTTTTCAAAGGCTCTGCTTTGTTCGATCCTTCTGTTTTCGAGAAAACATCTTTAGTTATTTGCGA